TAACCTTGGTTACTGAAATAACCAAAATACCTTTGAGCTTCGAAATGACCAAGATAACTTCAAGTACTACAATGACTTAAATACCCTCATGACCTAGATTAAGGGAATACTTGTGGATGGGTTCTGGAAGCACTAATGAAGCATTAAATGTTGTAACACCCTAAAGGTTTTGGAGTACAACCTATGTATATCGACCATCCTTGTTACTATTACCATATTATAAAGTAATACCACATGAATACATGCATGCATCATCAAGTTAGGTTCAATGATGTTTGTGAGGGTGATATGTTAAGGTATATAAAGCAATCGGTAATAAGAAATAAATATTCGTGAAGTGTATATGTCCAAATAATCAGTAAATACCACATTATTGAAGTCCGATTTGTTTGGTGTGATTTAAAGGTTTGATAAATCGTTAGCAATCCAGAATTCTACAAATTACAATTTTATCCTCATTACACTAATTACCAGAATTTCTCCCGATGGAAAATGACTAAAATGTTCCAGATGACCTAAGTAATGGAACCACTCTTGTTATATATGAATCGTAAATAATTTTGATGTAGGGTTCCTAGATATCTTTCTGATGTACTAGAAATCATAAATGATCTTGAAGCATCAATTTCTAAATGTTTGATTGGACCTGTTAGCAATCAAAACTCTTTTATTAGGGATCTCGTTTATGATATCCGACCAATTTACAGAAGTTTCGTGTTTTCACTCCTAATAATTACCAAGTGCCTCCGAAAAATAACTAGATCCTCAAGTGTGTTCCCTATGCACATAAATATTTTCTTTAATTTTAAAAAGTATGAAACTGAAATCTAAAACAAACGCTCAATCACTTATCTCTATTTTTTGATGCAAAATATATTTGGTTCCTATTTTTTATATTACTGGTACTGTCTGAAACTGTTTTATTGGGGGTATTATATGGGTAGGATTATGGAGTTCTAAGGTTCAGCTCTGATCAAGTTGGTAATTCCTTACAGAACTAAGGTGACCTTTGGGTAGGCTCTTAGGCCCCAAGCCACTTCATTGGCTAGGCTCTAAGGCCCTAAGATACTCCCTTAAGTTGGCTCATATGCCTAATGAGCCTATCATAAGTCCTTTTAGATATAGTTCTGGGGAATTGACTATCAGTAATCGGGTAGAGAGTATTATTGTGTTTTTTAAAAATCTGTTTTACTGAAATAAACTACTATTTTATAGTTCTATTGGAACACACTAGTTTCCCCAACATTTTTTCTGATGAATCTATCTCTCTGAATGTTTTCTTTGGACTACAAGTTTCCCAATTGTTACTTGGAAACCACTTACTGAATTTTCCAACTCATCGTTAGGATATATATATATATATATATATATATATGACTGAATAACTAATAAAATGTTCATGTTGCATCATATATATATATACTTTACCTTTAGCATCTTTTGGTAGTATTGTATTACTGAGTTTTCCCAAAGGTTACTCTGTTACTCACCATTTCAGGTTAAAAGAATTGATCATGTGTAGTATCGACATCAGTGTGGGAGATCCTTCGGTGTTGCTTACAGAGTATGGTACCCGTATAATTAGGGGGCATATAGGTCACATCTGTTTTTATATCAGTGTCTGAAACTTATTTTAATATTTATGCATTACTAAATTATGTTCTTAATATATGAATGATTTCCAAAATTTTATTATTATTCATATATTGAGATTGTTTTACGATTTTAAAATTTTATTGGTTAAAGTTTTATTTTTCTTAGGTTTCTAGAGTGGGTTGCTCCGGTGGCTCTAATGTGGAACCTTGGATCAGATCGGGTCACCCGTATTATTCTGAGGGTGTTACAGTTAACCCCTATGGCCTTTCCGATTTGTCGTACCACCATCATTGTGTTGGTTTTCGAGTACCTCATTTCTGTGACTAATCAAACAACTCACTGCCAGAGCAGAGCTCCAATACTAAGTTAATGTCGGTTTGATCTTTGTAAACGTCGTGAAGGTCGATATCATTTGGATGTGACGAACATTCTTGACGATATTTTGTAACACGAGGATTTTGTTGGTCAACAATGCGTTAAAGATGAAAACTTGGTACTATTTCGTCAATAACGTTGCCATTGAATAAGCTCTAATTTTCTCAGCTTCAGGCTATGGTGTCGCCGTGGTGGTGAATCTTTTCAGAGTTTCAATAACAAATTCTTTGCATTTTTCACTATCTTCATTACTTCTTTTTATATATTTCTTACAGCTGAGAACTCGCCTAATTTGACTTGAAATAATTATAGCTAATAATTAAAAAGAAGAAGGCTATTACAATGGAGCAGATATATCTGAAGAAGAAGTAAGGAGAAGATGGGCAATATTGGGGATTGGGGAGAAAAATGTTGAAAAATAGATAAATTGAAATATTGTCCCTAAACTAATTTGAATTTACAAAACGACTCATAAACAATAATTTTTTTCTAAAACTTAGGTGTTAAAATAAAAATTAAATCATTCTACTAACATGTCACGTCATCAAACTAATGACATTCAACCTCCAAGTGACCAAAACATAATAAAACGATAACGTAAGTGACTAAAACTTAATAAAGTAATAGCATAAGTGACCAAAATTTATATTTTTTGAATTTGGTGAGCAAATTTATACAAATATGAAAGGAAAGTGACCAAAATTTAATCCACGTATTATCTACGTGGAAATAATGTAATTTTAATTTTATATGTTTACCATGTCACTGTAGTGAACAAATCTTAATTATAACGAAACGAAAGAGACCAAATCTTAACTAAAAAAAATGAAAGTGACCAAATCTTATGTTTTTTAAATTCAGTGAAGAAAAATTTATAAAACTCAAATGAAAGTGATCATTTATGTAATTTACCCATATTGTTTATGATAATAATGTATTGTACGTTGATTATAGACGATTTATCTATTCTAATTTGAATTTAGAGTCATATTCGATAACTCTTTTGATGGTGGGAGTTTGAGAATCGAGTGAAAATTGTAATGAAAAAGATGAACAATTTGAAAGGTCTCATCTAGGGTCGTGATTATTATTCATAGCAATGTAAAACATAAAAATAGATACAATCATTTGATAATAGATTTGACCATAATAAATCTCATAAGTTTACTAGTAATTCTATCAAAGAATTGTGATTGACTAAAAGATATAAAACTTTAAAATTTTAGATTAATAGAAGAATTCTTTCAAAAAAACTGATAGACAAAATTGTTTCTTGTAAAAAAAACTTAGATGTAATTTCACAATATTTCACCAAATTAAGCTAGTTTCTCAAACTTAGATGTAATAGTATATATCATTAACACATCAAATGTGAATCTTTTAAGATAATACATTGCTTTTATATAAGATGTCTTTCGAATTTCGATGATGATAATGGGTGCTTATCGAGTGAGTCGATCACGAGTTGAGTAATATTTGATTCGACTAAAAAATTATTTGGATTCGTGTTCGACTTGACTCATTAATTGTTAAGCTCGATAAAATTTTGTTTGCTTGTGCTCGTTAAAATATCTTGTTTGACTCGACTCATTGCTTATTAAGCTCGCCAGAACTTATGTGTTGTTTTTAAAAAAATATAGGTAAAACCTAATAATATTATATAGAACTTAATATAAACATAAATTAATAAATTTAACAAAAATTATCAAAATAATATGGGAATCAATTTCAAACTCTAAATTTAAAGTAACAAACCATACACCAAACTAACATATTATAAGTTTACAATCAAAGTAACAATTCATAAATACATCAAACTAACATATTATAATCATTCTTAAAAAAATAAATTTAACAATACATAACCAATCTTAAAACTAAGGTAATCAACATCCTAAAAACATATTAAAAAAAGTTAACGAATTGTTCGAGAATTTATCGGATCGAGTTATATCTTACTTGCTTCTTAAATTTTTAAATTGAATTCTATTTCAAATCAAACATTAATTAAGTTTTATGTTAATTGAACTCATTGAGCATTCCTAAATCATGATAACATATTATTATTGTGGACGCAAAACCAGATGCTACTTGCCAATTCTGCAAAAGGATAAGCCACTTTCAATGAAAGAGAATGCCAGCCGACACTTATACTGACAGAAGCCGTGAAGGATGACAAAATTGGTAAGAGTACAAATTACTGACTTATAATCTAAATGTATATATTAAATAAAAATAATTTGTGATACGTCAACCTAATTTAAAAAATAAAATAAATAGACACAACTGAAAAATATAATATTTTTAATTGAACACAAATTAAAATATTAATTTTTTATAATATATTCTGTTGAATCGAAAATATTATGAAGAATGTAATATTTTAAGTTGATAACTTAAAATATTATGAAAAATTTAACATTTTAGGTTGTCTAATCGAAAAAGTTGTATTTTTTAATCACATTTTCGATTATACTTATTTCTTATCGTTCTTTAACCTTAAATTAGACGATTATTCCTTATACTTTCCAATTAAACAAGCCTATAAATATAAGACATATTAAACATACCTTTATCTATGTGTTGATCCAAGCTAGATGGTTTTGACGTATAAATATTGTTTTCAATCATTCAATGAATATATTTAAAATATTATTTTTTAAATAAACTTAAAATTTTATATTTAAATTTTTAAAAAATTAATATCTAAATGATATATGATTTAAAGATTTCATTACTAAACAAAACATTTAAAATAAATTTTAGATACCTAAATCTCAAGTATTTCAGAAAGTATTCGACATCGGTAGAACTTGAGTATAAATTTAAGTATCCGACATCGGTGGAACTTGAGATTTTTAAATCTTATATTATTTTTAAATTTATTTTTTAAATATTTAAATAAAACTTTTTTAAACATACGTGTCTTTCACACATATTATCACCTTCGGGTGATATTTTTGCAAAAAAGCCTATAAATTACTCTGTCACTTGCAGTTCCTGCAAACGGATAAGCCATTTGTGAATCAAATCCAATTCCATTCCTCTTTGAAGCTCTTCTTATGGATTATTCATTCCATTATGCAATGGCTAACCATTACATAGTTGGAGTTGCAGGTGTTATAGTTTCTCTCTTGGGGCTTGTTTTCCTGTACTACAATTCTCTAGTAAGATTTAGGGGACTAAGCAAGCTGAAAAGGCCAGCTTCTATGGATGCTCCAAAGGAAAACTACGTAAACAGAAATGGAAACTGCGAGGCTGTTGGGACCACAGATATTATCATAGTCGGCGCCGGAGTTGCCGGTGCCGCTCTTGCCTATTCTCTTGGAAAGGTCCCATGTTTCGTCATCTCAATTTCTCCCTTTGTTTCCCTAAAGATTTGAACCTGAAACTTATTAATAATAAAACCTTCGAATGTTGCTTACATTTTGCAGGATGGACGTCGAGTGCGAGTGATCGAGAGGGACTTAAATGCGCCTGACAGAATCGCCGGTGAAGCTCTGATTCCAGGGGGATACCTCAAGTTAATGGAGTTGGGGCTAGAGGGTAAACAAGAAAAATCCCAAACTTAAATAGCTTGTGCAGCCAGCAATATAATGTTATGCTATTAACTGTTGCACTGCAGATTGTCTCGATGAGATTGATGCTGTACGAATGCCGGGATATATTCTATACAAGGATGGAAAGGAGGCCTCCGTAATTTTTCCTCTGGAAAAGTTTCAGCCCCATGTGGATGGAAGAACTTTTCGTCATGGTCGTTTCGTTCGAAAGTTGAGGAACAAAGCTGCATCTCTTCACAAGTATTTCATCCACTTCGTTTAAATCTTCTTAAGGGTTTCGACATAAGATGTCACAGCATTCATACTAATAGTGCATGAAATCATTACTTTATTTACAAGCTTCAACTTCATGTGTTTGATGATATGATAATGTAGTGTCAGCCTTGAACAAGGGACTGTAACGTCTCTGATTGAAGAAAATGGGACTGTCAAAGGAGTGCACTACAAAGATAAGAGTGGTCAACTGATGACAGCTTACGCTTCGCTCACCTTCGTCTGCGATGGTTGTTTCTCGAATTTGAGACGCTCTCTCTGCAATCCCAAGGTGACAAATTCTTAGGAAGTCCTGCTTACTGTTCTTTAAATTCTATATATATATAATAAAAGGTGTTGATTATTTCTGCAGGTTGATATCCCTTCTTATTTTGTTGGTTTAGTCCTGACGAACTGTAAGCTTCCTAATGAAAATTACGCAGCTTTTGTATTAGAAGAACCTGCACCTATCTTATTTTATCGCATTAGCAGCACCGAAATTCGTTGTATGGTGGATATTCCTAGTCAAAATTTACCTTCTATTTCGGATGGTGAAATGTCCCATTATTTGAAAACTCAAGTGGCTCCCAAGGTACTTGGATCGTTCTTTTATTGATTCATAAGGGGAATTGGCTGAATCTGTGGACTAACAATATGATTTATACATTTCAGGTTCTTCCTGAACTCTACACTGCCTTTATTGCTGCAATAGAGAAGAAGGGTAACATAAGAACGATGCCGATTAAAATCATGGCGGCTGCTCCACACCTGACTCCCGGTGCATTTTTGATAGGCGATGCATTCAATATGCGGCATGCTATAACCGGAGGAGGAATGACTGTTGCATTATCTGATGTCATCTTATTGAGGGATCTTCTAAGACCCTTGCATGATCTATCAGATGCATCCACCATTTGCAAATATCTCGAGTCCTTTTATACACTGAGGAAGGTAAGCTAGACTTCATGTTTCAAATACATTTTGAGAGCAATGAAAACGGTATAATTTTGTTTTGCACTTTAACTGCACTGCAGCCAATGTCATCTACAATCAACACACTGGCTAATGTCCTACAGAAGGTTTTCAGTGCCACGTCGGATCCTGCAATGAATTCTATGCAACAGACATGTTTTGGATACTTGAGACTTGGAGGTGTATTTGCAAATGGACTATCAGCTATGCTATCTGGTTTATGCCCTCGTCCATCAAGCTTGGCATTTCATTTCTCTGCCATGGCAATATACGGCGTCGGCCAATTATTACTTCCGTTTCCTACTCCGAAACGCTTGTGGAATGGAGCTAAACTCCTTTGGGTCGGTATCTCCGAGACACGGTTCTTATGTAACATGAACACGATACGAATATATGAATCGTCGTGTCTACGATTTTCTCTACCGATACTAATATGTTGCTTGTTCTTTATTTGTTGTTCTTCAGGTTGCATCCAGTGTTCTTTTTCCCTTTATATGGTCTGAAGGAGTGAGACAAATGTTCTTCCCCCTAACTGTGCCTGCATACTATAGAACTCCACCCGGAAAAAGTATGAGAAGAAACTCCTTGGATTAATTTGCAGCATATGTTGTGAGCAATAAGAAATTATTAAAATATATGTACTACAAAAATTGTCGTGAATAAGTCAATGAGAACTTGACGGAGTTGGTAAGGTTGACCCATATGATATTTTAGAAATTAAGTTTAAATTTTACTCGATATAAATATAATATCCTAAATTTAAATAATTCTAGTGTGTCACGTGAAATCACTAAAAACGATCAGTACTGAAAAAATTTCTAAAATATTTCACTCAATTTAATTAAAATCCATCAAATTCATAAAATACATAAATAAGATTTACAAACACGAAATTTCATAATAATAGTTTATAACTATAATCCCAAAATATGACAAGGATAACATGTTAACTATATGTAAGAGCTTTATATATACATGTGCCCATTAAAGTACTCCCTAATTGTACCCTTAAGAAAACATATGCTTGAATTTTGTAATAACGGTACTACACGAGTGGATCAAGTCTGACAAATAGCAGAATATATAATAAGCAGGGTGTATATGCATGATTCATAATCCAAGGCATGACATACTTAAATACAACTCTATCAGTCTCATGCTTCCCTAATTCACAAATAAGAGCCTGGCCGTGAACTACGAAGGTTATCAAGACAACATCATACATCAATATTATAACATTTTTTTCTTATCTAACATCGGGTATAAGTATATAAGTGGTCTGAGCCTAATCTTAAACCCCCCCCCCCCAAATTAAATTCCCTAATTAGAATGACCTAAGCTCTAAAATTTAAATCCCCAAATCAAATTCTCCAATCAAGATGGACCTAAACCCTAAAATTTAAATCCCCCAAATCATAATCATTCGCCGCCGCTCGACCTCGCCGTCAAACCCATCTTCGTCTGGCGATGTTGTGTACCACCACCACCAATAGAAGCGCAGCCTCGTCGCGATCAAATCCCTGGTGGCTGAATGTCAAGGCATGTTGTTCTTCGCTATAAATCGACCTTCGAGCATTCGTCAGAATCAAAATTTCCCTTCGTGTTTTTCTTGATTTACTGGTGTTTCCGAGGTTTGTTGACCACACCACCTCCCCTGTCGTGATCCTCACATCCGTCCGACTAAAAGCCCTCTGATCGTTCGTCGATACTCGTCGCCGATCGTCGTGGATACCTACGAGAAGTTCATTGAAAACCTCACCCCCGTCGTTGCTCCTGTTTGAAGTGATTTAAATCGATTCTGTCGTCGTTTCACCTCACTGCCTTCACCACTGAGTTCCCCTACTCTTTCAACCAAAACCCAATTATTTGTGTTCCTCACCGATGAAGCCTATGTCGGTCATCGTTGAGGGTAAGTTTCCGTTTATTTTCTTTATTATTTCGGTATTTGGGTTGTTATCTGGTCTGATTTTGGTTGGAAACAGAGAATGAAGCGTCGTGGAGTGTTTGACCGCCCTTCTCCGTCCCTGTCGCCATCGCACGCACCACCGTCTCGTGTGGACCTCATTCCCAGTCGAGTCTTCTGGAAAGTCGAGTCAACTCGATCGAGTCAACTCATACCGAGTCAACTCGAATAGGTCTAAGTCAATTCTAACGGGTCAGAGTTAACCTGAACCAGTCATACCAGTTGATTTTGATCCAATCATTGACCTGCCCAGAGTTGACTTTGACCTTTGATTGCGTTGACTATTGACTTTGATTGAAAAGTCAACTTTTTTTAATGAAAAATCTTATTTTATATTTTTCCACGTCCTAAGTCCGAATCTAAAGTCCATTTTGCCAAATTCAAACCCTATAAGTTGTTTTTCAATGATTTATCTTCTGATTCGAATAGTTTTCTTGATTGAGTTCTATTTCTGACATAAGTTGTTTTGCTATGTATCCAAGACTTTATAGGACGTCGAAATCAAGTTTGTGGGTGATCAAAAGGAGTTTAATTTATTGACCGATATGGCTAAAAAATCGAGGTAATATTTTACTACCTTATATATGCTTTTGGAACACGTTGGTGTTGGATAATACATGAATGATTATGATTGGTTAATTATGTTTAGTTAATTATTTCTAGACTCGAATTGGATACGATATAGGTTAGGAAATGGAATAAGACTCGAATGACTTATAGAAGAAATTGGAAGACCGATAACAAATAAATGCAAGTCTAGTGATGAATCAATAAATCAATTTCCTAAGAATCCTTAACATTTGATTATTTCGTTAAAAGTTTTTAATACCGAAAATGCATGGATAAGAAAACTGTGATAACTGATTATGACCTCTGAGATGATAAAAAACTTAGAATTCTCGATTCTAAAATAATTCCTGATAATTAAAGTTATAGGAAAGATGCATACGATCAAATTGAAATATTTGAAATGACCAAAATACCTTTAGACCTCAAAATAGTCGAAATACCCTCAAGCTCTGAAATGAACAAAATAACCTCGAGTACTGACATGGCCTAAATACCCTTGTGACCTAGTAATAGACATTTGTATAATTTTGAAAACATTGACAAACCTAAAGGTTGTATCACCTCTAAGGTTTTGGAGCACGACCTAAGCATGTCGCTCTTTCTTAGATACTGTTTGTAACCCCCTAGACCCGGCCTATGCGTTTCGACTAAGTCTAGTGGATCACAAAGACATTTTCCAAAACCGTTATACAATCAATGTAAAACCACATTATTCATGACATGAAATTATAATAAATTATACTATTTAAAACTCAACTCTTAAATATAAAACCAATCAGTAATAAATTAATTTAAAACATATCTTAAAAAAATCAAAACCACGATAAACTGAATAATAATAGCAAAAGTATCATCATTATAAAATCCAATACTTTAAAATAGGTCCATGTCACCAGAATAAAGTCAACTTGCAATTTTAAAATATTACAATCAGATATACTTCAAGAGATATGTTGATCCTCCAAGTGCTCGAACCGAGGTATCTAACCAACAGTATCTGAAAGGGGAAAAACATTTTCGAAAGGTGAGCTAGGCTCAGTGTGTCCCAACATTACCATAAAATCACAATAGGTACATTAAACAAATCATAGTCCAGTAAATCTCACAAATTTGTAAAAGAGTTTAACTTTTGAAAATCATAGTTTAAACCCTTTTCTGGTACACCATCAGTAGTTCCCAAAATTATTTTCCATATAGCTTACTTTATGCACATAGCAAAAAGAAAGCCGACTTAAGGATAAGCTATGAAGCCTGTATCCTTAAGCCCAAGTCAATAAGTCCATATAGCTTACCCTAAGCACACAGCAAAGGAAAGCCGACCTAATGAAACATCTTGGGGCCCTCAAGAGTCACATTAGGCCTGTTTATTAGCTTGATCAGAGCTATACAATTGTAGTTCAATCCATCCCAAAATCAATATCCATATAACAGTCATCAAAGTCCATAAATCATCAACAATAAATCGGTGTACCAACAATAATAATCCATAGATTTCAATGTACCATATTTCAAAACATATAAAACCATTATGTAGTAAACAGGAACACAACTCGATAATGGGTTCAGATAGTAGATCTACTGATTGTTGGTTTCACCACGCTCTGTTACAGTTTTCGAACGGGTGAATACTGATATACGTGGTTTAACTGATCTAGAAGAGCTGGGTCGAGCTGTCGAACGATCCGGAGAGTCTCTTGTACCTTCAAACAATAATAATTAATCAACCCCAAAGCTTACTTAATTATTCAAAGCTAAAATTCTTAAGTATATAAGTATTTTTTGGGTTTGACTATCATTTTAGGGTATTTCGAGTCTGAATTTGGCCAAACGGATTGTGGAATCGGAATCAGGACGTCAAAAAACATAAAGTATGAATTTTCAAAAATTCAGATTCTTGGTCAAAGTCAAAGTCAACCACTTTGACCGTCAATTTGGAGGCCTTCAGGTTCGAATTTGACGAAACGGACTTCGGAAACGGATTTGGGACGTCGATAACTATCAGAATAGGTATACTCGGAAAATATTTACGATCGTTTAAGGGTCGGTCAAAGCCATTTTAAGTTTTGGTCAAAGGAAGTCAACGGTTAACGATCACGGTCAACGGTCGGGTCGGGTCAGTCGGGTCGGGTCAGACCGGTCAAACCGGTTCGAACCGGTCGAAACTGGTCAAACCGGTTGAAAACCGGTCAAACCGGTTTCCAGCCCTCCACTCTCCCTACGGCGGCACGTGCGGCGCGTGAGGCCTCCTCCGGGGGTCTAAAAATTCCAGAAAAATTTCTAAAAATTATTTTAAGTGATTTCGAGATACATACAAAGATCGGTTAAAATTTTTGAACGGCGGAGAGCTCGATTTCAACTCGGCCGAATCTTTGACTGCTCCACCTCCTCACGCGCCGCCGTTGACGGCGAACAAGGTTGACACCGGTAGACTCGAAACGACACCAGGAACACGATGGTGCAGGAGGTGTCGAAAACCGATCAACGATCGGAGATGAATTTAAGATTTTCCCGGTAGTAGTGCTAAAAAACGTCAATACTTTGACTCGAAATTCACGGCGTTTGGCAGCGTTTCACTAAAATTGGTTTATTGGGCTTTGTTCACGAGTCGAAGATGAACACGATGGTGGTTTTAATTTGACGATCGGATGTCAAACGGCGTCGAGATCAGACTTGCAAGAAGGGTGCGAGAGGAGGAATTTTGTTTACAAAAGTTTCTGATTTTAAAATCAGAAACGCATTGTATGTATAAAACCACATAACCTGCCGACACTCTTTGGCTAAATTCAGGGCTTAGTCCCTGAATTTCCTTTAACTTCTAAAATGGCCTAAAATTTTGGAAACTTCCGATTAAATCCTCAAATTTTGCCAAATTACTTAATTAATAATTTTTATTTCCAAATTTTATTCCGGGTTGTTACAATTCTCCCCCTCTACAAGCAATTTCGTCCTCGAAATTTACCTTATGAGAATAGTTGAGGAAATTGAGCCTACATTGACTCCAATGCCTCCCAAGTAGCTTCAGAGGGGCCTCGGTTACTCCATTGAACTTTTACCATTGGAATGCGCCTATTCCGAAGAACTCGCTCATCTCTTTCTAAGATCTGAATTTGCTCCTCCTCATATGACAAATCAGGTCTTAGCTCTACATCCTCAACCTGAATGATGTGA